GTGTGGTTTTGTTTGGGTGGGGGGGGGGGGTGGGGGGGGGGGGGGGGGGGGGGGGGGGGGGGGGGGGGGGGGGGGGGGGGGGGGGGGAGTGGGTGATGAGTGCGGGGGAGAGAGGGATATGAGAGTAGAGAATCGTGGAAAAGTATTGATGTTCAGCGGCAGCAGCAATATGGTGAGCGTAGAGAAGAGTATATTTGCATAGGCAAGACTATTGGGACTCACCGATCGGGAGAACGAAGCGCAGGGCCAGCGCCGATCTCCTGGACACCGAGCCGCGAAGTCGCCAGCAGTGGGTCAAATGTTTGACTCGGGCCCCATGGCTCCCCGTCCGCAGGGCCTCACTTGGTCGCTCCAAATATTCGGTCTCTTTGATCGAGGTCCTCGTCTCTCCCGGATGTTCCTCAGCCCGACTCTGGATGACGAGTGGCGATAGCGCTGAGTCTGAGGAAGTGGAAGTGTAGGATAATCGAAAGCAGCCGCTATCGCGCTCCGTTCACTCCACGGGTGAGCAACGACACTACGTCGAATGACTTTCGGGAAGCGATGCGAGCGAGATGATGGACTGTTGCCAACTGGCCCAGGAGCTGCTGATTGATGTTACTGCTATTACTGTGTCTACTGCTGCTGTTGCTGATGTTGCTGATGTTGCTGATGTTTCTAATGTTGCTGATGTTGCTGTTGCTGCTGATGTTGCTGATGTTGCTGATGTTGCTGATGTTGCTGTTGCTGCTTCTGCTGTTAATGTTACGGCTGCTATTTCTACTTCTACTTCTGCTTCTGCTTGTGCTTCTGCTTCTTCTGCTGCTGTTGCTGTTGCTGCTGTTGCGACTCACTCGGGTTTGTTACGGCTGAGCCCACGGGCTGCAGGCCTGCCAACCGGGCGACTGCGCACACGCACAAAGAGCCGACGTTACGCGACGTGACGACTCCCACTCCGAGACGACGACGGCAGCGGTGGTGGTGGTGGTGGCGGTGGCGGTGGCGGTGGCGGTAGCGGCGGCGGCGGCGGCGGCGGCGGCTGCGGCGGCGCTCGTGGCTCCGACCGATGCGGCGCGCTGCACTGCACCGATGCTTTCGACGAGCCTGGAAAAACACACACACACACAGCTAATGGAGCCCGCCTTTTTAAAGGGGCGACAGGCGATTTAAATGATCGGACGGCCCGACCGATGCACGCTCACGTTCGAAGGCACGCTTTTACCAACCGAAACGACCGACCGATCCTCGACTCTTTGCCCCTATCTTCCTTTTTGCCGATTCAATTACTCTCGGCGCTGTTAACTTTTCCTTATGCTTTATTTCTCTCTCTCTCTCTCTCTCTCTCTCTCTCTCTCTCTCTTTCTCTCTTTCTCTTTTGTTTTGTTTTGTTTGTCCCGTCTCGCCCACTACACCAGAGAACAATATTTATAAGCCGAGTTTTATTACTCTCTCTCTCTCTCTCTCTCTCTCTCTCTCTCTCTCTCTCTCTCTATCAATCTATCAATCTATCAATCTATTTATCAATCACGGTCTTTATTGTTGGGTTTGCGTTTAAGACTTGACGCAGATATTGAACTTTTTAAAATTTTTCTGACAATTTTCTGATATCTCTCTACCCTTTCTAATGCCATCCAAATTGCCATATTGCGAAGCGATAAAATATCTTTTTAAAATTATTTTTCGCGTTTCTGAAATATCGCGATCGCTGCAAAAGCTCTTTCGATTTAATATTTTTATCTCAAGCTTTTAAAATCGATGCTAAACGTGCGATTAGTGAGAGACAAAAGTTTTCGAAGAATCTTGGGCTGACGTAAATGGACAAAATTGTTTAATGACCATAATGAATCGAAGAAATACGAGGAAGTAAAATTATTAATTGCTTTTCTTGAGCGACCAAGAGTGTCATTCACCTTCGTGAGCCAGTTTTTTATTTCTTTTTTTTTTGGGTTGAATAGGTTTTTTTTAGGATTAAAAGTAGGCGACAGTGGCTTGGTAGTGGTCCGTCGATATAAATTTGAATGACATTATCGCTGCTTGACAGTCTATTTCCTTAATGCGATAATCTAGCAAGATTTCTAACCTTATCACGATCCTAATATCAAGAAGCAATTGTTACGTTAATCGTACTTACTTGATTCGTGAGTATTTAAGAGACAACAACATATGTTCCCAGTAGTGTGGTGCGTGACAAAAAGAGGCAGCAGTATGTAGTCTTCCGTTATCTTTCTTAATTTTTCCTGTTCTTACTGTGAGTCAGATATGTACGCTGTTCTTTTTAACGAAAGATTCATCGTCCACTCTCTTCTTTCGTACGATCCATCGAATCTCCATGCGCCGTATGCCCTTTGTCTTTCTTCTTTCTTTCTTCTATCACGTCTTGGCCATAGTCCAAAATATTATCGGCTCTTCGAAATTCACAAGCTCGTGGCTCGTACGAGATAACGAATAAATTATAGCGATATCATGACTTTTGGTTAATTTACTTTCTCCTGCGTCTCTCCTCCTAAATTGACGAATGCACATATACTTGAATGAGTGCACGTATACGATGTTATAAACAAATGAAAAATAATGAGCCACTCGCTACAATTCGAAGCATATCGCGTTCCAATGGCGATCGAAATATTCCGTTTAAGAAAGTCATGTACTAACAATTAGCTTTATATGTTGTATCTATCGATGCTAATTTCTCCCCTCGCACCCTGTTAAGAAAATCAAGAAGTCAACGTGACTTTTTTCTTTTTTTTTGTAAAAATAACGCAAAGCCCAATGACTACGAAGACGTAAATAGCGTTTCCTTTGTGACTTGCTCTGATATTATATCGATTGCCATTTGTCTGCTGTTGCTGTCGGTGCTGCTGCTACTGTTGCTGTTGCTGTTGCTGTTGCTGTTGCTGTTGCTGTTGCTGTTGCTGCTGTTGCTGCTGCTGCTACTGAACGATGATACCGAACGATGATACTTCAACACTACTTTAAACTTTAGTTGCTTCTTTGGCTGCTGGAGAGTGTAGAAAAGAAAAACGAGAGTAACTCGTTTGATCCTTTAACGCACTCTTT